ACAAAAGAGAGAGATCCCCTGGGGACAGCAATCCCAGTGGACACCTTTCCTGCCCATCCATCTCCCACCTCCAGGAGGAACTGGCCTGGGGAGAGCCTCCAGTCCCAGGGGAGACTCCCAGCCCCTTCCCTGCAGGTGACAAAATCCACCTGCAGCTCTCCCTGGGGCTGCAGGGCTCAGAGTTTGTCCCCACGAGTTCCTGGAAGTCCCTGCCTCACTTTGCAGGATCAGGAGACTGCCAAGGCCCCGTGTCCCCGAGCAGGAGGATGTTGTGGAAGCAGAGTCCCTCTGGAGCTGCCCTTGGCTTTTGATCAAAGGAATCACTTTTCTTGTGCATTTTCATTAATGGCCACGTGCTCTGGAGCTGGGTTTTGAGCAAGGGCAGGCAAACCCTCCCTGTGTGCTGCTGGGGGAGTCCAGTCCTGCACCCCTGGCTCATAAAGGAGGAGGCAGCAAATCCCTGTCCCTCTCCTGCAGCCCTGCATCCCCAGGAGTGCAGGATTCGGGAGGATCAGGGCTGAGCAGGCAGCAAGGAACTGGACTCCCTCAAAACTTTCTCCTTCCTGATGGATAATTTTGGCTGTCCCACTGTCCTAGGAGGTGTTTGGAGTTTAAATTATCGTGGGCTGAATTAATGAACATCCTGAAGTTGCATCCTTTCACAGGCTCCTAACGGGATGCTTTTGATTCTTCCTTTTTCTGCCAGTGCCTTGATGTTCTCCCTTGCAAAGGGAATTAATCTCTGGGAGGGAACGAAGAGCACAGCACAAAGAGCAGGCATGGTCCAGACCTCACAGGACTAATTATGCTCTTAAAGGGTAAGAAAATAATCTTGGGTACATTGGGAAGAAAGTGTTCTCAGTAATGCTGCATGGGGTTAAAGGCATGTCTCCTATATTTGTGCCTTTGGTAAAAAAAAAATGAACAAAAAAAAGAGTTTCAAAGACACTTCTTGACCTCAAAAAGATCAGTGAGGAGTTCAAGAAAAGAAATTTAATTCTGAGTGAGTTTATCAAGGTTTCTTGACCCTTAAGGATGGAAAAAGCAAAGGAAGGATGCACATGAAGGTCCTGTGAAATTCTAATACTAAAACAAACTGTGAAGTCTGAAAACAGAGAGTTCAAACCCAAAGCAAACCAAGAGCAGGGTGTGAATTCCAAGGAGGGCAGTGCAACATGTCAGCTCAGGCTCTGCAGCAGGGACAAAAGGAAAGGTGGGTGCTTACCCAAACACCGAGTTCGTGGGGCACACCTCTGCTGGATCTGAGGCAGGACAGAGCAGTGACAGCCACTGTCACCCAGAGGAAAGCAGGAGATGGAGCCCAGGTTGGGGTCAGGGAGCACAGGAGCCCTGACGTGTCCAAGTCTGGAGACGCTTCCAGGCCAAAGGCAGGACTTTAATAACTGTGCACAGAGCTTGCCGAGTAGGAGTTCAGGCTGGAAAAAAGACATTCTATCCTGTTTCCTAGGCTGCTCCCTCCTCCTCAGAGACCCAGCTGAGACCTGTGGGGTTCTCAGGAAATCCCTTTCTCAGAGGACAAGGCTGCTGCAGCTGCAGCGCATCCCTGGCAGCTCCCAGTGCCTCTTTCCATCCATCAGCCCTGATAAAGCAGCAGCAAGGTGCACTCAGCTCTGTCTCTGCTGAACACATCCCTTTTTATTGCTTTGCAGGAGTTCACAGCATTAGCATAAACCAATCCAGGCGGTTGTTTCCCCTAAGAGAGCCGGGGCCTGTTTACAAACTCATTTTATTTTCACAATATTCCATTGTTATTTATTTCAGACAGAGCTGTCAGATGAATGCACTCCCTCATGCTGGACAGCTTGCTTTATTGCCTCTTATTAAGACATAACAGATAGAACCTGGCAGGCACTGCCCATGTCTGCCTGCCACCACTGAAAGGCAAATTAAGTCTAAAATGGAGATCTCCAATATTTCTCTGGCCTGAAGTGATATTAGTTTTTAACTCATTTTGTATTCATAGAGGATCCTGCATGTTTGTAACATATCCCACAGTAAACTGTTCAAAGGAAAGGTTGGGTTTCTAAAAAAAATTCTTACTCCACGTACCCCTGAGAAATTCAGGCTTTAGAGCACAGCTCTGGTTTTGGATGGGGAATTGAAAAGAATGCACTTTCTTATGAGATTTCAAATATTAGTTGTGACAAGGTGCTGGTTATTTTTGGGAAGCCCAAGTCCAATGGAATGGCAGAACCACCTTCCCCACCACCTGCAGTTCTTGTTTAAGTAGTTCTATTCATGTTTCTCATTATTATTATTATTATTATTATTATTATTATTATTATTTTGTTCCTTTTTTTCCCTCACCCCAGGACTGAGTTGTTAATTTTGGATGGTCACAGGAGCTGCTCTGGAAATGCCTGCAAGAGGTAGGATTATCTCTTACTACCCCTTCACCTTTTCCTCCTGCACTTTCCCAATGCCAGCTTGTTATTTTATCAAATCCCTGGAGAACCAAGACACTTCTATTAATAATATTTATGCAAATAACCCTGAGCTGAATTAACATGACATGAGGAAGAAAGAGAAATCAGTTTAAAGGAAGACTGATGTGGACACTGGGGGAGGCAGAGTAAGGCAGGAGTGTCCACCTACAACCATCTGAAAGGAAAAAAACTGATTTACTCAAAACTTCTTCAGGCCTATGTATGCACTTGTGATTTGTTGGGATCACTATTAACCCTTACTGCAGCATCTGGAGCAGCTCCCCATTAGGCAGACAGAATCCACACTTTAAAAACTTAAAATAAAGAGTTGTGCTGTGCCTGTGTTCCCAAGGAAAAGTTTTTAGTGCTGGAAAATCTCAGGTTTCATGGGAAGCTGCAGAATGTAAGGAACAGGAAACTGCAGCAGCAAACAGGACCTGCAACTTAATGCTAAACAGTGATACACTGAATAAATAATTATAAAAAAACTAACTCTTCCGCAGTATGTAATTGGGGTTATAAACATTGGGGTTTTTTCCCACGTTAGGGAAGAGGGAACAACCTGACTGGATAGATGGGAAATGAAGCCAAGGAAATGGAGGTGGATTTTTGCCCATCCTGCTGCAAACCTGGAGGCAGAGGTAGAGCTCAGCAGCTTGAGCACAACCATTTCTGGATGTATTAAACCCCCAATGTGTACAAGTTTGTAATAGGAACAAGCAACAACACTTAGAGGTATTCTATTATCCCTCAATGTAATAAATATTTTATTAGAGCAATAGAAAAGAATGCATACAGATAACCATAGGATACACACACAACTGGAAGTTCAAGGATAAATTTCAACCTTTTCAATATGAAACAAGGTACTGGGTACATATCTCATGGAGATATAAAACTAGAAATCAAGTAAGAATACAATGCAAGCGCTGAAAAATGGGCAGTACAGGAACCTGGACTACAATTTTGTGGAACAAGAGTCACCCTTTGTTGCATGAAATATCACTATTTACTCACTAGGAACACCTGGATTTCCATGTCCCACCCACCCCCCTGTTTGCAAGTGTCTGAAAACAACACTGGTCAACCACATGGAAAAGCAACTAATTTTTAACTCAATTCTAGCTCTCTATGTACAGTATATACAGCTCTTGCTTTCCTCAGCAGCACTTTGTCTCATCTGGAGCTCATCAGCTCATTTGCCAGCTGAATGCATATCAAGGTATTTTTTTTCTACAGTGCTAACACAATTTTATTAATCCTGGTTCTCCCTTTGTAGCTGTGTGTGTTGTAATAGTATTGTGAAATTAAAAAAAACCCCAGTCTCTAGGAGGAGATGCTTTATGTCACATGAACAGATGCTGGAACATTTTTTCATTTTTCATTTGTCATTGACATTGGTCATTCGCTGTGACCTCTCTAAAAGGTGGCTGATTTGACTGAAGCGACAACTCCAGAAGTCAAATGGACCAGGCTTGGTGTATCTTTAATTTACTGCCATGAAAGAAAGCACAAATTTCTCTGCAACAGCAGGTCTGAAGTGTTGTTGTACAATTTTTTTATATGCTAATATTGCCATGAACTTCCCAGACTCATGTGACAGTAGTGGGGTGCAGCTGAGAGCCAGAGCAGGTGGAACAGTTCAGAACTGGTTAAAGAGCAGCAGGAAGGAGAGGTCTGACTGTCAGTCTGAGTTCAGGGTGTTTGCAGTGCAGTGTGGCAGAGAAATGAGTGAGAGAATTTGGGGCTGCAGGTCTGGGAGCACCACGTTACGGGAGGGGGTGGCTGTCCCTCTCCATGGTGCTCCTGCCTTCCCCCAGTGCTGCCAACGGGGCACTTCAGCTCCTGAAACATGGGCAGGAGGGCAAACAAATCATCCTCAGGGTCTGGGAGTTTGGTTATGAATGAAGAACCTGTTTGGGAAAGGTGGAGAGATGAGGAGATGGATTTCAGAATTTCCTGAAGGGTGGGTGTTTAAGAAGGTGCTCGAAACACAGCTGGGAGATCATTTCTCAGCAGCAGCAGTGGAGGCCCTGCCTTTACCCTGCTCCAGATGGGATTTCTTTTGGGATTTCTTTCCATTTGGAGCAACTCCCACAAAGGGCAGCAGGAAAATGATCCAAACTCCTGGGTGATGGCACCTCCTTGGGAGCAGCCACGTGGTGCTTGTGGTGCCCTCTGGCTGGTAACAGCCACAGCTCTGATTTCATCTTCTCCACGTCAAATGTTATTTTAACAGTGCAGAACACACCCAGAACATTTCAGGGTTGCTGCCAAAACTGAGTTTCTCACTCTCCCTCCTAGCCCTGACCTCACAGTGCCATCCCTCCCCCTCTCTCTTACACTGTATCTGAAGTATGTAGCATGTAAACTCCTTTGGTTCAAGTATTAAGGCATTTTAGATTCCTTTTTAAAGGACTTGCTAAACTTTACATGGTATTTTTACTTCAACTTACAGTGAAATAGAAAGAATTTAAAAACACGTCAGGATAGAAGAAAAAAACATGCATTAACCACTGCAGTTTTTTTTTTTTAAAAAAAAAAGCACTTTAGTAACCAATTATTTTTTCCCCCAGCAAATGCAAATATATCAGCACAACATGGAATTAAGGGTCAAGGAAAATATTGTTGCTAAGAAGCCGGAGACACTGAAGGTCCTCGAGACTGATGGGCCAGAACCTCTTGCATCCATACCTGTGACAAAGGAAAAAATGAATCCAGGATTAAATAAAAACATGAAGCATGTGCTGTGCCACATTAGTACTCTTCCTAGATGCTAAGCAAAAATTACTGTCATTTTTTCTTAGAAGCATTGGAGATCTACAAAAGTACAGGAAGGGTTTAAAAATTACACAGGTGTCTTGCAAAATGCTGTGGTCACAAATGGTTTTAGTGCTCTGGTTTAGCTGACAAGGGGGTGTCTGGTCAAAGGTTGGACTCAGTGATCTTGGAGGTCTTTTCCAACCTTAATGATTCTGGGAGTCGACTTCCAAGCTAGTAGTTTGTTATTTTTTTAAAGGAGAAAAATAAAAAAACTTAACATTTTTGATACCAATTTACATGGTACTTTAGCAGTTCAGTAGGATGGAGTTTGCCATGCATAAGGGCACAAAGACTTTTCCACTTTTCCTTTTTATTACCACACGACATCTAAGCATTAATTTTACTTTTTTTTCCCCCCCCCCTCCATCAACAAAGGAAGCAAAGAGAAGCTGGGACAAAGGAAAGTGGTTCAACCTACTGGCTAGTCTGGGAATGAGGATCTGCTCGCTGCTGCTGCCATCTCCCCCCTCCGTGGTTGCTCTGACCTCGATTAAATAATCGTCCTGGAGCCGCAGCCACAGCTCGGCCGTGGTCGTGTCCGTGGTCAGCACGTCCACCCTGCTCTGGCTGCTGGTCCTGTAGAGAACCTGCAACACAGCACACCCTCAGCACCTCTCTGTCCCTCACAAACAAGGCTTCAGCTTTTGGGAGTGACGGGATGGAAGAAAAGAGCTGATTTTTGGTTAATATTCCAGGGTGGAATTACAGTTAAAGGAAGAAGGGAACATCAATCAAAGCCTTTTATTCCAGATTTAATTTAAAATGGCACAACGGATGATGATACTTATTATATATTATTTTTATTATAATAATAGGAAATAATGGGAGGTGGGACACTGGAACAAGCTGTGAAAATGTACTTCTTTCCAATACAACTCAGTGGGTAATCAGATCTTCAGCCTAAATCTTTTATTCAGGAATATATTATGTGGGATCCAGCTGTAAAGAGTTTATCAGGAGCATCCTCAGCTATGCTTTATACACACACTTATATGACACATTTAAACACTTCTACATTTGTGTGCTGATCAGATTTAGAGCAGATGCAACAGTGTAATTTCTGTCAGGGAAATGAGCATGGCCCACAGCAAGTAAGAGGAGAAAAGGTTTAAAAATATCAGTTTAATAGATGTGATAATATATAATAAATATAATAAATATACCTGGCCAACAATGGAAGCTACATCCATCAGGCTGAATCTTTTTTGGTTCCTTTCAAAGTTTTATCCATTTGGGTAAGTGTTACACATTTAAAATAAGTGTTATGGATGTTTAAGTGTTTAAATGTTCTAAGATCCAGGTGGCATCCCCCAAGAGCTGAGCAATGCCAGCTTGGGGAGGAAAAGGGATTAGGGGACATTAGTGTGAGACACTGTTAGAATATGATTTAAAACCCCAAAAGAGACCCCAGTGAAATGGATTAGGGGTGGTTCTGTGCATCCTCTGAACACCAAACAGACGAGGAAATACCAGCTCTGGGCTGCTCCCAGCTCTGGCCCCACTGACCTTGTAGCCCGTGACCTCGGACTCGTTGTCCATGGCTCTGACCTCCTCCCAGCTCAGGATAACTCTGGAGTCTGTCACATTCCACACCACGTTTCCTGGAGGCTGGCTGGGAGCTTCAAACACACAACAAAAGCACGGCTTTAATTTAATTGGCATTGGTGATTGACTCACCAGCTCAGGTAATTGGCTGTCATTGTGTTTGGGGTGCAAAAGCAGCTCCAGTGCAGGCTCCTCTCTGTGCATGTCATGGTTCAGAGGCTAAATTTGAAAAACAGAAGGAAGGAGAAAGCCAGAATGGCACATGAATGTTGTTTCTGAAGTTGAAATTTGAAATTTCAATTTCAAACAATGAAATTGTTGTTTCTGAGTTTGAATTTGAAATCTGTTGCTGGTCCTTCATTCAATACAGCCAGACAGAAGCACGTGCCTTAGGACGTGGGTGATTAATTAGAACAAACTCTAATGATGGCAACAGACAATTTCTACTTTTAGTACAGCACCAAGAACAAGAAAATTCTTCACAATAGATTGCTAGACAAATTTAGTCTCACTGAATATTCAAATTTACCCACTACTGTTGATTTACTTTAAGATGTTTGTTACAGAAAATATTTGAAGGGTTTTTTTTTTTTCCCCTGTTGGTTCTTCCAACTTGAGTTGTGGTTCTGAACTGAGCCTGTGCCAGAAGTGGGCTTTGGCCAAGGAAATCTGCTGTGATTTTTTGTTCATTAGCAACCCAAGCCTGCAACTTGCAAAGCAGCTGCACGCTCTGGGCTCTGCCCCTTCGTGTACCTTGGAGCTGCCAAGCTTTCAGGGAAGCACAAACCTCTTCAAATACCTCAGGTTGGCTTCCCAGAAAATGGGTCCTGCAGTGACACAAATCAATGATTAAAATCTTTTCTAAATGTGTTAAGGCAAACAATTTACTGTTGCTGTCACCTAGTGGAGGCAGCTGCTGAGCTGTGCTTTGAGGCTGGAGGTTCCAGCTCTCAGCACTGAGAGTGGTTTTGAACACTTGTATCCATGTGCTTATGAGTTTTTTCCTCTTATTTTTTCCCTCCTCTCTTCAATTCTTTCACACAGAAAGTTCCCTGCCTTCTTCCCATAAGCAGTCAGATCAAAACCCACCTGATTATACTCAAAAAACAGAAAAAAACCCGTGGGATTTAAAAAAATTATTCCAAAGTCAACCAACCACCCACAGCTATTTTTTTTTTCCCACTATTTGTCTTGTTCTATGTACTGAGGAAGATTTAACCTGATGTTCTAATAATAACCACTTCTTGTAAATGAAAGAGGAGATTGTTTCACTCCTGAGAATGAAGTGTTACAGCATGTATGAATCGTCTTCACACTGAGATACTACAGCTGAATTTCAAAGGAAATGAGTCATCCTTGAAATCCACAACAAAATATTAAGATGACATGTGGAAAAAAATGAAGAGTAATTATCCATAAAAGCTGTAAGCCTCTGTCTGTGGGATTCAGAAGGCTCCACTTGCTGCAGACACCAGAATCTCCAGCAATCCTCAGTGCTCAGAACTTCATTTGTGGCAGGTCCTGATCCATGGAGTCACACCAGGACATGTCCAAGGAGCTGCAGGGATTTCTGAGCTCTCAGGTGCTGAAAGCAGCTCTCAGACAGGAGCATTTCTCAGAATTACCAGCTGATGGACAGAACATTGGGTTTTATTTTAAGACTTTCCAATAATGAAATAATTGTAACAACTTAGGCAAGTCTTCCCCACCCACCTGGCATTTTAAATAGCAATACTTAAACCTCGACTTGTTATTCTGGGCTGTAAACATGCAGATTTCAAGTTTAAAAGCAAAGATATTTTCACTGTCAAAGGCTCAATTTCAATTTTGAAATACACTGCCAACAGAACTGAACTATTTGTATTTCTTGATATGGCAAGAGTCTCTGAGCTGTACCTGGCAGGTCCTGTGGGGGAATGCAAATCCTTCACTGTGAAAACCACACCAATCACAAATATTCAAATTAAATTACAAATTGGGGTTGATTAAAAATCACACATTTGAATGAAAAATCAGTTTTCACTGCAGCAGCACAGAGGATTATTTCTCTTAGCAATTCAACTGATTTATTAAAATTTTCAGATTGACATTATATGGTTTTGCTTGCCTTATTCACCAGAAAGATCCGTGGACATAATGCAATTAATTTTCCTTTCTAATTATTCCAAATAGCAGTGACTTTCCCAAGGGCCTGATCCAGGTCCTGCTCACACCAGTGAGATCAGGGGCTTGTCCAGCTCTCAGTCACACAGCCCAAAAGTGGGGGAGACACTAAAAAAGGCCTGAAAATCCCTGAGCTGACCAGCCTGGCACCACCTCTAGTGAGCAGCCACAAAGATGATTAATTGGAAAAAATTCCCTTTCCCACGTCCTGCCCAGGCTGCAGGCAGTGAGTCACTTCAGATCAGCCAGTTCATGGTAATTGTGCATATAACATATTTATACTCTGGCAAATCTGAGTTGGTTTAGTCCTCAGTGATGGACTGACACTCATTTTTGCATAGAATAATTTCTGATAAACTAGCTTATTTCCTAATATTAATGCTCCAACTCCATCTGCTCATTAATGACTATTGCAGGGCATTTGACCCTTCAGACAGATTTAATTGTATGTTCTTGTGCCTCTGACAGAAACACTTCAAGACTGATGACCCTGATTGGGAGCTGTATTACAACGGAGGAGCACACTAAAAATATTTCCACTTGGAGAAAAATTAGTGCAGCCTTTGACAATCTGTTCTCCAGCTTAATTTCGCCTTTGCAGCAGCAGAGTGGCCTCTTGTGCAATTTGTTCAAGGGGAAACAGTGGACATGAAGGATTGTTTTGCATGAACTCCATGAGGTTCATTGCATTTCAAAAGCCATGCCCTAGAGAACTTATAAATATGTTATAGAACACTGAAAAATTCAACAAGTCTCTTTTTTTCTTTTTTTCCTCCTTCTAAATAACAGAGATTTATTTTTTTTTCCCCCCTTTCAATTTCTTCCAGTCATTAGCAGCATAATAAAGGTTCTGTGCAGGAATTACAGATCTTCCTTGGGCTCCCCTGGAATGGCTGGGTTCTTACTCACCCTGCTGAAGAGGAGTGTGGAAGCTCTGTGCTGGATTCCTGGGACTGCATGGAAACTGAGCTCACCCATACTGCAATTCCCAGGAATCCTGGAGAAAATCATGGTTTTCCCTCCCCTCCAAGTATTTGTGCCTCTCCCCACCCTGAACTGAGGTACTCACGTGGCTTTTTGGTGGTGGCATTGACAGTGGCACTGAAGGGCCCTGCTCCAGCGCTGTTGTAGGCACGGACAGCTGTGTAATAAACCAAGTTGCTCCTCAACCCCGTAATTTTTATTGATGTTTCATTCCCTGCTGCTTTTACTCTGTTTGAAGATTCTTCTTTTTGCCCATTATTCCAGTACCTAACCTAGGAGATAAAAACCAAACCCATTTAAATCCTGTATGGAATGGGCTGTTCACCCACAGCGTTGTACTTGATTCTTTCAAGTGGATTTTTTTTCTTTTTTTCCTGCAGCTGAAAAAGGTAGAAATACTGTTAAGTTTCAGAAATATGTTTACTGTGCAAAACTAAAATATTCTTATCCATCTGCTTCTCACGCTTGCTGCTCTTTTTGGTGTGACTGCAGGAAAAAGGCAATTGAAATATTAGATCTTGCTTGAACTGAAGAATGACAAGAGGAAAACCATTACTTCATTAAGAAGGAAACAAGCTCAGAAAAATGTACCTTATAAACAAGTTTCTTTGAAAGTAAATGTAATTCTGAAAAAAATGTTAGCTTGGAGTTATGTCAGACACGTGACTATCTATCAGCACAAGAAGCAAAACACAACTTCATTCTGTGGGTTTTTTTAATAAAGATAGAAAAAATTATCCTACTTCTGCTGCAGGAAGAGCAAGATTTGGGGTGAATCTGTGTGGTTGTGCTGCAGCCTGCACGACCCTTCTGCCCCACAGCCCTTTACAAAGAGGAGTGGATTTTATTTCATGAAGAGGGTTGATTCATTGCAATATTTTAATTTCCACAGACTCACCTCATAGCCCAGCAGCCTTCCATTGCTCAGCTTCCAGGGAATGGCTGTCCAGGACACCAGGATGGCCGAGGAGGACAGGCTGGTGGCTGACACTCCCGAGGGGGCCGTGCTGGGCTCTGAAATCAGCAAGGGAGAGGTGACTGTGGGAACAAACCTGTCCTTGTCCTGTCTTTATCCTGTCCTTGTCCTGTCCTTATCCTGTCCTTATCCCAGCCCACCCCACTTCCCCGAGCTGCTGCTGGCTTTCCTGGAGGAGCAGCTCAGGGGAGGGCTCGGGGCAGCCCCAGGTTGTGGCTGTACCTTCCTCGGCGGAGAACACCGTGGTGACGGCGCTGAAGGGCCCCTCTCCTTTGTTGTTGTAGACCCCGACCTTGACCTCGTAGGGCGAGAAGGGCAGGATGCTCTCGTTCCTGAAGACGTATCTGGGGGTGTCAGGAGAGGTCACCACGGTCTGGATCCACGTCGTGGTGCCCGAGGGGCGGAAGGCAACCACGTAGCCAAATCCTTCCCCGTTCTGCAGCTCCTCAGGGACGGGCTGGGGCAGAACAACACACGGGCCTGTCAGGCCACTGGGGATGCTGGGCAGCAAGAAACTCATGGACATGATGCAGGTGCTTGGCATCAAACCCTCAGCCAATTAACTCTGGTACAGCACAGCAAAAACCTGTTCTAAGGTTTGCAGTTCGAGAACAACTTTCAGGTATAATCTCTGGTTTTCACTAAGTATTCTGCCTCAAGACACTCTTCAGTAAATACAACTTTGCTTTCATCAATCCACAGCTCGTAAAAAATTAATAATTGCTTGGTCAGCTATTAAGAGAATCCAATACCACCTTCATATAGTGGCCTAAACCTTCTTCTGATGTGATTATGGTTAGATAATCACACAGAGTAGTCAATGCTAGGAACAGAATATTAACAGTTCTGTAAATCATTAAAAAAGGGATACATACTATAAATTGTATTGGTTAGCATGGGCATCAAGATTTAATGGTGGGAGAGCAGGAACTGCAAATCTGCACAGCAAAGCCCAATTCTTTGGCTTAACCATCCCCCTGCCCTCCGGCCTCCTTTTTAGCATTAACATTTGGTTTGAGAACTGAAGCAATCCCAGCCAAACTAAATTCCCTGGGCATTTCCATCCAGCACAGGGACACTGAGGGTGAAAGGAGCAAGGCCAGTGTGCAGGGCTCACATCACACATGGCACCGAGCACGTGCACATCCCAGAGGAGAAGCTGCTGCAGCCAGGGAAATTCAGAGAGAGCAGAAAGGAAAGAAAGAAAGAAGCTCTGTGAAGAAAACTTCTCCCCAGCAAACTTACATCCCACGTTATGACCAGCTCAGATCTGCTGCCTCCTCCCCCACTGACCTCAGAGGGGGGAATTTCGGGAACTGTGGAAAGGAAGAGCAGAGATGTCTGCACAGAGCAGAGACAAGAGAACACACCACCTCACCCTCTGAGTTTAACCCATGTTCATACTCCTTTTGCAATCAGGGTAAATGTTCTTGGGGTAGGAGGGGCAGCACTGGCAAGCCCCAGCCCTGACCCACATTCACCCTTCCCTGGGCCAGGCTGGGGTTTCTCTGAGCACCTGGAGAACCTCAGCAGCTCACAGATTACACCACGTCTTTAGGAACTTCTAAATTCACCATGGCTGTGTTTAGGAAGTTATAAAAACTGGAGACAAGCTTCATTTTTCTACAGTTAACTCAGAGAATGGCCTGGGTTGGAGGAGACCCCAAAGATCATCTTGTGCCAGGACACCTTCCAGTATTCGTGTTGCTCAGAATTCTATGTCCTTGAACACTTCCAGGGATGTCATGCACATAAATTGGGAAATGGCCTCATTCCAGGTGAACTGGGGTTATAACTGATGGGTTCTTCTGAGCCACATGCTTGTTACATGGAAGGGTTTCACTGATCAAACACCAGGAACAGAAAATCCCTGTCAAAATTAACCTCTTTCCATCCATTAATACCTTCAGACTCTGCCTGAACTGGCAGACTTTGGCACAGTAAATGCAGCTTAAATGGATTTACATGTCATGCTTCTGTGATGTTTAGCAATGCAACACAAACTGTCCCACAACTAAATGGAAAAATGTGAACAAACCTGTTACAGGCTTTTATATCCAATGGCAATTCCAAGCTTGTTTGCAAAGAGCCAAATATATGAACACTCCTTTTCTTTGTTAATATTCAAGATTCTTGAATTAAAAACAAATAGAAGGACCCACTAACCTGCCTCTTCAGTTCTTACTTTTTCTGAGGGCAAACTAGGCTCTCCACCTCCTATTTTGTTACTGGCAACTACACGAAATTCATATTCAACCCAAGGATTTAAATCCACTACTGTGCTTGTGAAGGTTTTCCCGTCGATCACATCCGGAACTGGGAAAGAGAAAGGGAAAAGGAAACTCAGGAACAGGGAGCCAGAGATGTTCCCACAGAGCCTGGGCTGGGAATTGTGCTCACCTGTGGTGGCTCTCTGCCAGCCCACGGAGAAGGGAGTCCTGGCCTGGATGGTGTAGGTGGTCACAGGGCTGTGGTTGTCCGTGCCCTCCTGCCAGGAGATCTGGGCAGTGGTGTCCGTGATCTCGTCCACCTTCACGTGCTCGGGGGGTCCTGGAGAGCCTGGAATCGGATGGGAAAGCAGGCAGAGATTGGGGAAGCAGCCTGGGAATCACTCCCAGCAGGACGGATTCCCATGTTTTCTTCCCTGGGGAGGAGGAAAACGATTCAGAATGGAATAAGAACACTTGTAATTATGGTTTTCCATTCACTAAACTCTGATAATTTCAACCTGAAATACTCTCAAGGGCAGAACAGATGACTGGGTTTTGGTTTTTTCACAAGAACCTTTGTTCAGCACATCCCTCTGTCTTTCCAATGTCTCTTCCTTCAGTCCTAAAGGTCCTCTTTAATCTACAGATACATCTCTGTAGTCTGAAATTTTTTTACCTACAACTTCTTTACTGTACAATGCACTGGAACAATTTTTCAGCACATCTGACCAGCACCCCAAGCTGCAATTCAGTCAGACATACAATCTTCAGGAAAAATCCTCACTCAGGGCATTTCCTGGCCAAAATGCTGGGTTTTGTTTCACCTGCACCAGCAAAGGGGGTTGAAATGAGTAACAGTGCATTAACAATGAGAAAATATCTGAAATATTTTAAAATACATTGAGTAAGTGCTGATCACATAATGTGCTTTTCTAGATCAAAGCTTTTACTTTGCAATAAATGTAGCTGCAACATCAGCAAAGAAAGCCACAATTCTGGCTCAACTGTGAGGATTCCAGCTTGGAATGAAAAGGAATAATCCTGCATTGTAGGCTTTAAACCCTAGGACAAAGCCTCTCCTGGGCTCTGGCAGAATTTCACAGGAAGGATACTGGAGTTCCTGATACTTCAGTCTGCAGAGGCAGCAACTCCAACTGCATCAGAGCTGCCAGTGAGTTCCCTCCTGGCAGTGACCTGCAGGACTGGCAGTGAAAAAAGATCTGAAGTCACTATTACAACCCCCAGCTCCCAATTTCTCTGGGAAAAATCAGGCTTCACCCAAAACCTGAGATGTTATTCTCCCCAGCTGCAGGTCAGAATGACATAATTCAACTCACAGCCATTCATCACCCCATTCAAGCCACGGATTTGTTCTGTAACCTCCAACATCAATTGTTTCTATAGCCTACAATCTAAAAAAAGGTGGAAAATGTGATCCTGGGGCTGGGCTGGGCTGGGCTGTACCTCTCACGATGAGGTCGGCAGCAGAGGCCACACTGTCCACCTCTGTCTTCACCATGCACACGTACTTCCCACTGTGCTTCAGCTGGATGTTCCTGATCATCAAATCCCCTGAGGCACTCTGGGGGAACACAGAACATTCATTAATGCCAATAACCCCTCCCTTCCGTGTTTTCTTTGTCCCTGATGTTTTCTTTGTAAACAGAAAAGAAATCCACCAAAAACGTGAAGTCGCTGAAAAGCTGCATTGCAGGACAGCAAATTACTGCCCATCAGCAGCTCCACTCTTATTTGGGAGCGTTTTCCCAAAAAAACATGAGGTAATGTCCCTTTTTTGGGAGAAATGAGCTCCAGCATGGGGAGCTCATACTGGGGAACCCCCAGTAACCTCAGTGCCCTGTGGCCATTTGTCTCAAAGCCCTAAAAAGAGAAAAATGTGTTTTCTGTGGCCATCACCAATTTGATTTCCAGACAGAATTCATGGAGTTTTTATCTAGAACTTGTAAGTCAGGTCATGACAGATTTTTAAGGAGAGTTCAGATGTGTAAAAGACAAAAGCTGAATTCTGTCCATTCTCCAGGTGACTGTGAGCACTTTGATTTAAAGGCTGCAAGTTCTAGGCTAAATTTCCCGTTTTACAAGCCCAACTTCTATTCTTTGCTATTCACTGAGTATTTAATCTTCAGTTTTTTCCCCCATTGTTCTCTCTCAGATCACAGCATGTGGTTATTTCCTGGATCATGGGAAACAGAAATAATACTTGAATGAAACTGTAACTCCCTATCACATTAGGGCTCTCTGTGTACTGTTTGTTTTCTACACCACTGAACAGAGAACTTGATATTAAACCTTTGCTAGACAGTGTCCCTTAAAGAAAAAAATCTCCTCTTTGTGTGTAAACTGAATTACTGCCTTAACTCAGTTCCAGCTGAATTTTCCAGGTGGAAAACACTTCATATTTTAATTTTTAAATATAATTTTTTAAATTTTTAAATTTTTATATTTTTATATTTTAATTTTCTGGAGAAGCAGCATTTTCTTCAAGGAAAGAACCCTCATTTGTGGATATTTTCAGCTACTTTGGCCACCAATTCATGGGCAAACAGTAGTTTGGGAGAAAGGCAAAGCCATGACACTGAAGTTTATTTTAGTCTTGGAAAAAACATGAACCTTTCAAAACATTTGGTTATTTTTCTTTGTTTCAGCATTACAATGTCTCAATTCTTTATTCAACACGAGCTGAAGCCAATTCTGCCTGATTCCCTTCCATGTGTGTGCCTGGTCTTCTGTGAAAGCACAGATGGAAGTTGTTTGCAGGACAATTCAGTGCTGATTGCTTACAATAAATTAAAAGTTGAGTCAAAAGCAATCTAGAATCCATCTCCTTGATTGGGAGTGGATATTCAGGGAATGCCCAACACCAGCAGAGAATGCAAGTGAATCACGTCCTACACAAAGTGATTTCAGCAAACTCAATTTGAGACATCTCAACAAAGGAGAGGGGGCGTCAAAGAGAACAGTTTGACTTGAAATTAACCCCAGCAAAATGTTAATGCTGCATTTCAGTCATTTGGGGAGGTTTAGGGAGGGAAGGGAAGGGAAGGGAAGGGAAGGGAAGGGAAGGGAAGAGAAAAAAGAGAAGAGAAAAAAGAGAAGAGAAAAAAGAGAAGAGAAAAAAGAGAAGAGAAAAAAGAGAAGAGAAAAAAGAGAAGAGAAAAAAGAGAAGAGAAAAAAGAGAAGAGAAAAAAGAGAAGAGAAAAAAGAGAAGAGAAAAAAGAGGAAAAAAAGAGAAAAGTTTGCAGCTCACCCCTCCAACCTTCTCGAAGTGAGAGGCGTCCCTCTGGAAGTCCGTGAGGGTCCCATTGAAGTACCAGGTGAAGCTGATGTCCAGCAGGGGATCGTGCTGCACCTGGCAGGGCAGCACCACGCTCTCCCCCACGGTGACATCCATGTTGGAAGGTGCCAAGGTGATCCTGGTTGGCTCTGCAGGGAGCACAGAAATTGGTGATTGGATTGTTCTGCGCCGCTGAGCTCGGCCTGACACGGACACCCCCCACGTTCCTCGGATGGGATCGGTGACAGCCACTTCCCAAGGATGCAGCTGGACCGGGAATGCTGCCTGGAGCTTTGTGTGCTTGCATTTCCCAGCAGGAGCTGCTGGGCACTGGGAAGGTGAACTGGAGCCTGCTGGGTGCAGCCAAGCCACGCCACCAAGCTGAATCCACAGGCAGGAATTGCCCTTCCACAGGCAGGCGGCTCTCAGCAATCCCACTGTGGTTTGAAGCAGCAGCAGCACTGGGCAGATGAAGAGCTGGCAGTAGGGAAGAACCTAATAAACCCCAAAAACTGGAGGAAATCCACTTCAGGAAGAACACAGTGGATATTTGGGTCCATACATCACACAGAACATAAATAGTGTCATTAAGAACAGCTCTTTGTTATTCCAGAATCACATTAACAGAGAAAAATTTCAGCTACTGTAAATACTGTAAAAATAAAATTTAATCCTAGGAATTCTCTGTTTATAATTCTATTATTTGTATATAAAGGGACATCAATCATTTAGGAGCACAGGCTGAAAACATGAAGCAGTTAATTCACTGAACAAAGTAATTCTGTTTGGATATGTAATGCAGTGGGATATTAGATAATTCTAAGTTTGGGAAATCTTTCAGGTGTTAAAATCTTTGAAAGAGAACATTATGAGAGAAAATATTTTTCAGATAAACTTCCCAAACTCCTGGCTCTTTTCATCCAGTATCTCAATCAGCAGCCAGGAATGGATGACTTGGAGGAAGGATCCCTCCGAACAACAATTCTGTATAAAATTTGCTTTTGAAAGACTGTGTTCTACTGCCCATGGAGCCCCTGAATGCTCCCCTGCAGCTGGAGTTTCCAACACATCTTTTTCCATAAGCAAACAGCATTTAAACCTCTTTTGGGCAAAACAGATTTTTCGACAGGAATATAAAATAACCTTGAAGATTTTTTTTTTGATTGACATGTTTTTTTCATAACAAATTAAAAACCCCCACAAACTTAAAAGCATAATTGCACTATTTAGTGTTTAGAGAAGTGAGAGGAGGGAGAGAAGCGTTCAGAACTCCCTCACATCTGAGAAATATCTTTGCCAAAGACAGAAAATTCCCTTAGTGTCTTTTCAACTAATAAAAGAGCTGTAACAGCTATCCTTTTATCTTTATACATTAAATAAATGACTTCTCACACTCTTTACATTCTACAACATCTCTTCAGGCTCCTGAGTCTGTAATTCCAGTTCCAGCCCCTGTGTCCCAGCTCACCCACCTGTAACTATCAAGCTGGTGGAGCCCCTGGCTGTTCCAAACTGGTTTGTGGCCAGGCACGTGTAGCTGCCAGCATCCCCCTTGGTCACGTTTGCTATCCTTAGTCCTCCATCCTTTAACAGTGTCATCCTAAAAAATTACAAGGAGATTTTTAAAAGTTGCAGCACTTGTAGACAAAATGCTTTCAACAGCTTAGTGTTATCTAGGACATGTTAAAACTGTAAAATGAGCTCTCTGCCAGCTGAAACCAGGACAATCACCAAGCCAGGGTGTGAAAATGTTGTGGCCATCCACTGACAATACACAACAGATTTGAACTCAACCACGTATTATTCTGGACACCAGTAGAAACCAAGTTTTTCAGAGATGTGGGCACATGAATGTGTGTAAAACAGAGAAATCCCACATGAGCTCCATCTTTTTCAGCTGCACCAATTGAAACTGGAATAATTCTCAGCTCTTTTGTTGTTTACCTCGAGCAATCTTGCACAGCACCTTTGAAATAACTGTGATTACCATGACAACTCCATAGGATTGTTCATGACCTTCCTTTGTGGAAGCCCTTGCAGGACAGAAAATTCCCTTCACCCCACACAACCTCCCGCAGTGAGAGCCTGGAAAAGCAGGGAGGTGCCTACAGAAGGTGTGGACAGAAGAAAAGCCACAGCAGGGATTGAGGAGCAGGAATGTCCCCACAGCAGAGGTGACATCCCAGACAGCAGCACTGGAAGGATGCACAGGTAAAGCTGATTTGGCTCCCTCTTTCCCTATTTCTTCTCCTCCCATACGTTCTATCCACAGCTGCAGGGACTTTTACCCTAAGACAACCTGCAGCAGCAAAATAACTGAATGTATATACAATGTCCACAGTAATTAACAAAAGGTACCCATTTTCCTGAAATGCCCAAGTCAAAAGAACTCCAGAGCTTTTCTCTCACATCCCACCTGAGAGGCACCAAAGTGGAGCACAGCACCTTGGCTGGCTGGTGGTTTGGAAATGCCCTGAACTGAGCTACAGAATGAGCAGAGCAGCAAACAAAACCTCTCCAGGCAAAGCTCTGCCTGCATTCGCTGGAGTCTTGCTCGGTTTCCAGGGGAAAAAGGCAGCAAATGTCCTCAAACTCCACACTGCCACCTTCCCTCCCTCAGAAGAGCTGGGAGGGTTTTGCCTGCTCACTTCCACCTGCTTGGTTATTAACCTGCTGCTTTATTCACTACAAAAGGAATGGATTAATTACACACCTCTGCTGCTCTTTTTATTTTCAACACTCTCGAGGTAAAACCATGTCAGTAGATCCCCATCGCTGCTCCCAGCTGAGATCTGGGGCTGAATTCTGCTGTTTTGGGATAAACTCTCCACAAGTCCCTGACCTGGGGTGGCAGTGAGGGGTGGCTGTCTCCTCTCCCAGGTGACAAGGACCAGAGGAATGCCTGGGGAGGCTCAGATCACATTTTGGGGAAAATTTCTTCATGAAAGGGTCATCAAGGATTCAGTGATCTTACCCTGCATGCTGAACTCATCTGACCCAAACCCACATTCCCTAAATGCGAACCAGAGCAGTGGGAATCCATCAGGGCTCTGGAATTCCACTGCCCCACTCCCTGAACAGCGAATTCACCTCACCCTCAAAGCCCCATGGAAGCTTTTAAAGCTCTGAAATCAGGAATCTGCACTCCTGCCACAGCTGCACTGCTCCCTGCAAGGAGCCAGGATTTTTGGAATTACAATATAGGATATACACACAACTTTTAAACGCTTTTTTTTCTTAGTTAGTTCAAATTGCATTTTGTATTTCCTTAAAAAAAGGTGTTTCAGCTCTCAGCACTCTTCCTCTGGCAAAGGTGGTGCAATAATGAAATTAGCAGATGCAAATTACCAGAGATAACAAGGCACCCTGTTAGAACAACAACAGACAAAAACATCTTATTGGGGTGAGAAAGAGAGCTATAAATAGGCAGTTTAATCCATTTATAACCACAAAGCATCCTGAGGTACCTCAGCTGATGTGGTGGCATTTGAAGAGTTTTTTTCAAGGGAGGATGTGCCTCATGAGTGACTTCCCTGAGGTTCATTAACTTGTTTTGGAAAATTCCTAAGTCATATTTGGCTGCACTTCATGTTAGATGGAACATTTAAAATTAATTAAACCCTGCCATATGGTTTATAGGTATTTTAAATGTGTTAAAGACATGAGTGATACATTTTATAGGTAATTAGAATGACATCAAAAAAGGGTGTTAAAATATATCAATTATGGTTACAAGCAAGTGCTGTTGCACTTTCTGGCTGAGGCTTCATCTACTTTGATGCAATTTCCAAAAGAAAAAATACAAAAGAAACCCCAAGTGCTGACAAAGCCTAAGATCAAACAAAGGAAAAAGCAGGATCAGGGAATAAACCTGAAAATGTCTATTGTTTAATTAAAACAAATCACTTTTAGAGTGCTCTGAACTACCTGCAAGCCTAGCTTGCCTAAAATAATTAAACAGAAAGGTTATTAAAACCCAGATATAATCAGGAATATTTTTTTTTGTGGAATTAAAAACAAAAAACAAACAATACACCAAAAAAAAATCAATTTGAGACAAATATTCTAGTGGAAATAAGACCTTTACTGGTAAATCAGAAAAGGAGCAATGCTCCACTTTCTCCAATCAGAAAATAGTAAATGCAGCTCAGAGCCTATGAAAATCCTAAACCCCAAAATAGCTCTGCCCCTCCTGCTGAAACACGAGACAAACCACAGCTTTTAATTTACTTAGAATTATTCAATATTCACACGTGGTGCTGGCACACTGCCAGGGAGAGACCCACACCTGTGACACACAAAAATAACAATCCAGCCTTTGGCATCCTCTGCATCTACAGGTGTTTTTTGCAAAACCTTTTGCTTAAAGCCAGCAATTTTCCATGGAAATTCCGTTTTCCACAACCTGTGCCCTTCTGATGCCCTGGCAAATGGCACAAAACCTTCAGCCCTTTAAAAGGGACCATGGGGAGAGGGATGGTCCTAAATCCACCTCAATTCCAGCTGGAGATGGATGTAGGACCTGCTTGGTCATCAGATCAAAGCATCATTGACAAACTCATCTCTCATTAATTCCTGAGCAAAACTGGGGGGGGAAATGATGTTTGGGGAAATTCTTTTTCTCTACAGCCAAATAAAACCCCCTTAACTCACACCCACACCCTGACACTGAGATCAACAGATGGGGAGAAGGATTAAACAACTTCAGGACTCTGGGGTTCCCACTTTGAGAGAAATGATACCTCTTTATATGCTTATTTAAAAATGACACCTCTTTATATATTGGTATTTAGAGAGAGAAGACAGAATGTGCCTTAGGATCCACTGGAACTCGGTGTCATTAATGCAGCTGTTAATGACTGCAGACCTGCTCACATTCCCAAGGCAATGCTTTATTACTGAACTCTCAGACATCATCAAACTCAGGAATCACTGCCTGTTCCATTTGCCAGATTATTCAGCAAAAGAAAAAAAATAATAAAAAATTCAACTATTTTATTGATAACCCTTATTGATATGGTAATAAACACAAACACATTCCAGTTTGTAACACTTCAGTGCAAAGGAACAGTGAAAACTGAGCTAAAAGTGTCTTTTTCATGTATCAATCAAATCCCAACTAAATTAAAGCAGATTAATTAATCCTATACAAGTACTGGTAAGTAAATGCATTACTTTTCACATCGTAGCATTTCAAACTGTAACACAAAATGAATAAAAGTATTTAATTCAAACTGCAGCAAAGCTAAAGCCATTAACTGATACTTCTGAGTATCATGCAATTTTTTATCAGGGATCATTTATTTCTTTCCTCCTGTAATTTGCCATCACTTGGCCACAATGAAAGCTGCTAAAACTGGAGTTTTCCTAATGGAATTGCAGTGGAAAGTCTTTTAGTGAAGTTTCTGCAGCATCTTCTCATATTTTTCTGGTCTTGGTAAATTTAGAAACATCTAGGAATAAAGGTGAGTTTGCTTAAAGGTGAAATGCTGCTCTGCATTTTCACAAAATCCTGTTTTTTAACCCTGTTCCAGTCAGGTATCTGAGCCAGGAGCTCAGGACCCACTGCAGCCCACAGGCAGTGACTGTCAAGCACAAACTGAAAATTAAGTCATGAACATACATAAAACATTAAGGATATCTTGGAAGGGGTTATGTCTGGGTCGCAGCTATTTTAGTATTTATTCTGGTTTTGGTGAGTTAAACCAGCACCAGGAGCATTTAACTCTGGTTAAACATCTAATCCTCCTTTTCTGGAGGACAAGAAGACAGCAAAAATTCATCCATTTGGAGGTGGAGGTGTCTCAGGCACCCGACAAATTTAATTCCCATCTTCTGTCTTTCCTTCTGCACGTTATCATATGCTTTCACTTCTCTCTGCACTCCATTGCTCTTTAATATTTAGCTCTCTGTATTAAAGATATTCTAGGAAAAAAAAAAATGAATCACATACTTCGCAAAATTAACAAGAAACAAGATTGCTTCCTTCAATGCTGAGCGATTTCTCAGCCCAGAGCTCATGAATCCATTTTGAATTATATTTTCTCCCCTCCACAAGACACACTGTATTCAGCTCATTTAATTAAAATTTACTGACTCATTATCCAAATCTTCTACATACAAAAAAAGCAGCACCATTTAAAAATAAATTAAGAATACGAGCAACAGCACCATCAAAATGAAACTCTCTCAGGCTTTACTAAAGCATTATGGTCAGCACCTCATTGAAACCCAAGTTCTCTGATGACAAGAAATTCAAGTATTTGTGCTTTATTATTCAAATAGGAGTTTTCTTAAGACATATCAATTCTACCCATGCTGATGGAAATTAAAATTCAGCTCCTTTTGCCTCCCCACCTCTCCCAGGTGTTGTCCACGCTGGACCTCCCTTGTGGGAGAAACTCGTTCCTCCTACTTGCTGCAATTAAAAGAGAGGAAACCCTCCCCACCAGACTTCTCCACTGGAAAGGGAGTTAATGGCTGAAAAATGTTCTGCTAATTTGAAACCCTTCCCTGAATTGCAGGAATTGTAGAACTGTATGAAATCCACGGATCGCAATTATTCACAGCAGACAGTAATGAACTCCGGGGTGCTCCGCAAAGAACCACGCTCTGCTCCTCTCTGAAGGCAAGTTTACTTCATTTAGATTAATTCAGGATTACTGCCTTGTTATTCTGCTTCCTCTGGAAGCCATTTACAGTGTGTTGTCAGAAACAGACACTCTGGGTCATAGTTTGGAATTACCTGCACTTGGCAGAAGTAACAGCTGTAATTTATGTTCATAAACCTAAGCAGGCAGCAACATACTCAATTCAGGTTTGGGAATTGAGTGTTGATTTCTTCAGCCTGGTACTATCATCCCAAATGAAACTGCTACCATTCTACTTTTGATGGAAATGGAACGAGGACAAAAGCAAGGAATTTACAATTTAGGAATTTTCCTGAATGGACAAAATCAGGCGCTGCGCATCTTTTGCACGCGCCTTACGAAAGCAGTCACAAAACCGACTGAGATCCATCAAAAGGCAACGAGTTTCACATCAATTTTAGAGGTCACAGCTTAATTTAATACATTAATATTGTTCAATTAAAGGCTAGAAGCACTCAATAACCGAGCAGCGCTGTTTTGAAAGGGATTTTTGCTCGCCTGCTTGCAGGCAGGCAGGCAGCCAGTGAGGCTGTGCCACCACGTCCAGCTCTGCAACAGCAGATGCCCCGACTTCTGCCAAATTGTCACATTTGACAACACTTAACACCAGAACAGATGAAAACTCTTGTGGCCCCTGTGAACAAAGAGGCAGGGCAAAGATGACAGTGCCCAAAGCTTCTGGGTACAAGAAGACAGCCCCAGCCTAATTAAAGATGGAACAAATAAAGGTCTCCACTGCAGTCTCTCCAGGTTTTATCTATCTGGGAACAAATCCTGTGTTTAGAAATTGCAAAAGAAAAGGACAACTTGGTGTTCTACAGGAACAGGACCACAAGAATTTTGTCTAATTTAGAAGCAGTTTCCTGATGCCAGGCTAAGTTTTGTACAAATCAACACCCAGCCCTAGAGGAGCAGGGACACATCCCTCAAATCACACTGCCATGGCAATCCTCCCTCAAAACCCTCAAAATGTTTGCTTTCCTCAGTCTTGTGTCTGGCCTTGTGGACACTTTCTGTCCATGAATTATCCTGCCAAGCACAGTGTGACACCAGAGTGTTCCAAGAGGAGCATGCACAGGCAGCCTGTCCCCACTGCTCCCAGCAAACACTGGGAGCTTCCAGGGCTGTTGCTGGGGCTGCAGCCTGTGTGTGACTCAATAAAGCTGACCTGGGGGCAGAGTGAACTCCCAAAAAGCAGTTCTGGCTCCTGTGAGTGTGCACAGCCTGTCCTGAGCCCTGAAGAGCTGCAGCTGCAATGCCCAGAGTGCCACACTGGCTGTACCTGTGCAAAATCAGACCTGGAACTCCCCACCACACCCCTGCTCCAAGGAGCTGCTTTGCTGCCCCAGTTCACTCCCTGAAAATCCCAGTCTGTGGAAACACTGAAACGTGGAACAGAAAGGCTGGGAAGGCAGCAATGCCCAGTGTGGGAGAGATGCAAACCAAAGGCTGCTCCGGAGCAGAGGTACAGCCCTGCCCCATAAAAATGGCTTTTTACACAATTTAACCAGCACATGTGTGCAGTTTCAGCTTATGACTAATTCAATAATGCTTTAACAGGTATTGCTGGAAAAAAACCCAACATTTACATGTTGTTGTAAATCAATAGCTGGGGGCATGGGTGAATCACAAACTCTCCCCTGGGAATTCCAATCCCAAAACACATCCATTATCACATAAACAGTGATGACATCTGTTATCCCTCGTAGCACCATGGCTGCTTGAAAAGAACCTGAAGTGCATTTTCCTTTTCTTTTTGTGTTTCATCTGCTATTCTTGACCTCCCAATTAACTTTTCTTTCTTTTCTCAGCTATGTCATCCCCATGGCTGTAACACACCTCAATTGCCCCTTTGCCAACATTTTCAGAGCATTTTGCTGAAGCCTTTTAGTACTTTTGTACAGGCTCTGCATTCCCAGTTTTCTATCATTACCTGCTTCTCTCTAAATCAGGCCCAACTCTACATTAAGCTGAAAACAAAATCTGACCCTTGACCTTAGAGAAAGCACCACAATTGCACTCTCAGTGCTCTCATACCATCACAACTAAAAAAAAAATACAACAAGCAAAACACCCCAGGCCAGCCAGACTTCAGAGAGACTTTACAAGTGTTTGGATTTACAGCTGACACTACTGCATAACCACACACAAAAGCTTCTTGTAAGATTAAAACAAATAAACCAATGTAATGTGATACCTTTCATTTTCGTGTAGCTGCTCACCTCCCTTCTTCCAGGAACATTTGGCCTTAGGGAAAGCTTTGGGTTTGCACTCAAAATCAACTGTGCTGCCTATCTGAACCTGGATCAGTTTCTTCATCGGACTCTTGGAAAAATCTGGAGCAGAAGCTAAAACAGAAGGGGTGGTAGTAGTGAAATAAAGCACCTTCAGTGATATTAATGATACTATTTAGCACTTACACCAGCACTTCTCAGATTCCAAACATAGTTAACACCATTAATCAGGTCACACAGATCTTCTATTTGGCAATTAGGTGTTTTCTCCTCCTTTTTTGTACCTCATCCTGCTACCAAAGGTCTCAGCTGTGCAGGTGAGCACCCAACAAGGCCAGCACAGAGGATCACAGTGACCAAAGCTCAAAGAACCCAGTGAGCACTCAGCACCTGCCCCGCTGGATGCTCTGCTGAAGGGAGCACATTTCTCTGATCAATCTAACCAGCACCACACCAGGAGCCTCACCGAACCTCAGGGAACTGGAAGGTTCCCAGTTTCACGTGCCAGATGACAGGAAATGAGAGTGTAGCTCATTCTGAGTGAAATTTTCATGAATTACGTTTCGAAAAGGCTCGTGGCCTCTCCCTATAGTAACACTGAACTTTGAAAGGAAATTCAGTGTTTGAGGAGAGCAAGGAGCATGTGCTAATCACCACCACAAAGGAAATAAATAACCTGTGTCCCCAGAACACAGCAGTGTTACAGGAGGGAAAAGTGCACAAGTGTGAGTGTGTCAGTCCCAAGCCGTGTTCCCTCCAACAAACAGCTGCCACTGCTACAGCCCCAGCACAGGCTGGGTGGATGCTGAGTGTCACTCCCTGTCCCTGGCTCCACAAGGGCTCCACACAGAGGATTTTAACCCCATGGTGTCCCTGAGCCCCACACAGAGGTGAGAGCAGCTGATGGAGCCAGCACCACCTCCACGCCACACCAGAGCTTTTAATCCTCTGGCCCAAACCCAACCCCCCATCCCTGCTCTCTCCTTCGTGAATAATTTATCCTGTTCTGTCTTAAATGAATGATTGGCCTGGAAATCCTCTGGCAGCAGATGACTCAACTCCTCAGCTCTGCAGATAAAGACATCAGGTTGACAAAAATGTTTTATTTCAGTGGCAGCAGCTGAGTGAGTTAAATCCAAGGGGGTGTGGAGAGGGATAATGAGGTTTGTGTTCTAGTGAAAAAAGGAACATCTTACCTACAACCCTGAGCTCTGCACTCGAAGAGATGACACCATGTTTATTTTCAGCTATGCACTGGTATCTGCCAGAATCTGTCAGATTTAGATTTGATATTGTAAGTGCACCATTTTCAATTTGGATCCTTCCCTGAATATTAAGAAAAATATCTTTATTGATGATATATTTCCTGTGAAAAATTCAAAATAAGTAAGGAACAGAAATAGGACAGCATAAGTACAATGAATTGGGTAAAAGCAAAAGCATCATCTTGAAAACAGTTCCAAAAGAAATGATCTGACTGCATCATGGTACAGCAATGGTGATCAGCTATTCATGGAGATCAATTCAATGCATAAAGTAATTCTTAGAACTTGCCCTGTTGCACTGAGGTCTGTCAATCTCAAATGCCCTTTTATTTCTCCAGAAATACGGACAGAACCCTACCAGCCCCCTCAGACAGAGCAGAGTATCCAATGTGTGCAGATGGCACTGGCATTTCACACTATTTCACACGTGCCACTTGCTAATGAGCTCGCTGTAGCACTGCAGAAAATATTCCAGCAGCCTCAACACCAAAGGCACAGAGTGAGGTGCCTTGGAGCCAGCACAGCTACTCGAGTGTCTGGGTCTTCTCACCCTGCTCATTCTTGGAAAGCTCAATTACAGCAGGAAGTGACTAATCTGAGTGGCACAACTGGTGAGAACAGGAACCGACTGAGAAAGACAAAACCAAAGGAGCATCAGCTTTGGGGAACAACCTTTGGGGAAAACCAGAGACACAGTAATGGACAAACCCCAAACTACCTGGCCAAAAGTATTTTCTAGGGGCTGTGTTTTTGATCTGGACCTGGCCCAAGTACAGGGGGACCCCAGGACAGCTCAGCTCCTGTCCCTGCTGAGCGTGAGGGGCTCAGACAGAAAACAGTCCCAAAGAGGAAAAAGCCTGAGTATCTCCATGTCTTATCTCCTCTGCAGCATCCCAAGCTGCTGCTCTCAGAAAAGGTTTGTTCATGGAGAAGGGGAGAGCTGAGTGGAACAACCCCAAGAGATGTTTGTGAAGGAGACCCAGCACGAGGGATTACTGCAGTCAAGGAGCAGAAGACACCTGATCACTGCACACAGAGAACTCCTCTGGTGTCTCCTCAGTGCTGGGTCTCAAAGAGCTCCCTCACTGTTTCCAGAGGAAGTCACACTTGTGCCCTGACATCAGCCAAAAGGCTGGACAGCAACACTCCAAACTGGAGAAATGAGGAGAATGAACGATTCCAAGGTATTTTTGTACTTCCTGAGGTAAAAAAAGCCCATTACCTCAGTGCCTCTGTATGACACAGCGACAATGCTCTTAAATCACCCAGAGGAGATTTTGTGCTCCCTCATTTAACCTGTCCACAAAACACCAGCATTCCTTTTAGCCAGCACGATGTGAGAAATGCTTTCCAGTGCTCTGCTCATTTTTCAGAGCCCTCCAGTGAATTCACCTGGATGTCCCTTTCTTCCCCAAAAGCTGGTGCTGAGCACGAGGCACTGGCCAAGGGCAAAATGGCTTCTTGGAGAAACAATCAGGCAATATTCCTGACAAGATGAATGGGGCTGTTTTCCAATGCAGTAGGGAGATTTCAAATCAATAAATAAGGAATATCAGATTCTGATATTTCTCACCTTTCACTTTCTAAGTTCAACCTCCTTTCTCTGTCACCAAATGCACTAATTTCAATTAATTTGCTCTGACAACTGCATTAAAGCAACTATCTATGTTATGTTGATGTTTGTATTCCACTCTTTGCAACAAGTGGTAAACCCATGAATCTTCAAGAGTTTTGTCAAGAAGTTGGAAAATATTTTCTTACTACCTTTAATGAAATTCCAGCTGCAAATATAGTAAAATAATTCAAGCTCTCCATCCCTTATTTATAGTTATTTATAACATTATTAAACTTCCTTCTCCAGTCATTTCTAACATGTTTTTTTTCTGTGGCTCTGTTGTTTTTAAATCTGCTTTTAGCTGTAATATTTTTGTACAGCATAGTTTGTCTTTGCAGCTTCTGAGGCCTCATCAGGGTGCTCTCAAAAAACACAAACCCAGTATCAAAGATTTCTCTTGACTAATACCAGGAACTTTTGGATTCTCCAATTTGCATTGTGTTAATTTTACACAGCACCACTTTTCCCAAACAGAAAGTTACCTCTATTGCCAGCTGCTCTCCGTTCCTCAGCCACCTGTAGGATGGTTTGGGCTTCCCACTTGCTCTGCAGTCCCAGTATAAAGTGTCCTCCACAGCAACTTCCACATCCTTTATGGTCTGGATCCAGTGAGGCTTTGCTGCAGATAAAATACACAGTGAAGACCCTCACAAGTTATTGCTCCAGGTCAGAATCAAAGGGTTAATGGGCACAGAACTCATCAGTTTTCTGCAGAGACTGATCTGTACCAACAGAGCTTCCCACTGGTCCTGCTTCAGCCCCCTGATGAAACAAGTAACTCATCATTCTTCTTAAACATTTTCATTATGAGCACTAAACCAGAAGAAAATTGAGAGTACAGATCACTAAAGCTGGACTAGTGAAACCAATATTAAAATCACTAATGATTCAACAACATCATTTTGCAATCGAGGCAAATGTAAGAGAAAGACATTAATGGCGAGACTGAAATTAAGTAAGTGATGTGGCTAAATCATCAAATTAATGCTGAAGAGAATCCTTTAAGTCCTAAAAAAAATAATGGTATGTCAGCCTTAGTGCTAAATACCATTTGAATTGTTTTCTAATGCAAGGCAGCACTTAACTGGATGAGAACATGGATATATGAGATTGTTTTTGAAAGTAGAAGCCTTGGCACAGAATTTGGGTAATGCAAACCAGTAGAATAAAGTCCATAAAAATCACTATTTTTTAAGCCAAAATTTGATGCAATAATATCATACATCCTTCTGAATTACCCTAAATACAGTTAAAACTGTAAAGGTATTTAAAACATCTGCTACAGCTTTCACAGGAAGGAGAAAGCTCACTTGGCAAATAAACATCAATGCATGAAAAACAACAGTAATTTATTTTTATTCCTTTAGTGCTATTTCACATATCAGTTCAACACTGTTTTATAGGTAATTTGTGAATTTTCTTTTAATTTATTTATAGTAAGTTTATAATCTCAGCCTATGCTTTTTTTTCCAAGAAAGGATAAATCCTGGAAACTGCCTATGGAAAAAACAGATGAAAGAGCAGGATGGAACTTGGCTGCAAACTCTTAGCCATGGGCAAAGAATTTTCCAGAGTAAATTTGCTTAAGTCAGTAATTCAGGAAAATCTCGTAACACTCTCATATGAAAACAACCAGGAGAAAACAAGTCCCTGGTGATGTAGGAAAACCTTATTTAATACAGGAGTTTGGGAAGCACAGATTAATTCCCACTACAGTGGGGTTCACACTTATTTCATTTTAAAAGATTCCTTGTTTCCTAGCATGGAAATTTCCTCTCAATCCCAGGTTCTGCAATGCAGTGAAAAAACACCTCAACATGACTAGGTACAGCACCAGGTTTTTATGATAATGATTATTGATCTACTTATGATTTATGTACCCATATTTAGGGTTAACTTCTTACAGAAGAACTTCCTAAAATGTATTCACTGAGGTTTTAACTACTAATAAATACTGGAATTCAACCAAAATTTGCTGACAGTGAAACCCTCTGAATATTACTTTTTTTTTTCACATCCCCATGAAGATTAACACCTGCCACTAATCAGGGGATAATTTATTTTTTACACTCTCTTCATCAAGGTCAGCTGCAAAAGACAGGATGACCTGATTTTTGTGTCACATGGATGTGCAATTTCACTGGAATTAACTGGGGTTAAATCTTCAAAGTTCAGGTCACAACACTGGAACTCAAGACAGCCATTGCTCCATCTCACATGTGTTGAGGGAATGAAAGCTCAGGGCTCCATGTGACGAGCACTTTACACACCTCAATATTTATGCAACATTCAGCAGTGCTTGAATTACTGGTGGATCCATACATGTGGAATATTTAACATCTGCTGCCTATCTCCACTTGAAAGTATGTTAAATATAATCTGTTTTCAAGTCTAAAGATCTTGGATTCGATTCTACCAATAAAAGAAAAATCACTGTCTGTCTAATCTTGTTTTAGGACTCTGTGTCAGGCAGTCTCCACAGGAGGATTTCCCAAGTCCCCACACAATACAATAAAGCAGAAATTCACAGAACAGCTTCCCAAGGCACAGGACGAGAGATTCCTGGTGCTTGTCCATCCACAAGAGTGCTGATGGAGACTTCAGTGATCTCCTGCAGGAAGGCTCCTTTTCTCTTCTGATTACTGATGGAGGAGCTGAGCAGGAAGAAAAGCACCACTTTCAATCTGTCTTTGGAAGAGAACAATTCGACCAACCAGCTCCAAATGGAAAAGGCAGCTCAACAGGGGCAATTCCAGCTGGGAATACTCTGACTTCTGGCCAGGATGAAGGTGCTTCATGTGCAGAAGGAAGTCAGCTATCAGCTACTGCTCTGACACCCTCTCAAAACACCAGCAGGACTTGCCAAGCCCAGCACTGCCCCTTTCTGTTGAGCTGAGGACACCTGAAGGACTCTGAATAAACAGCTTTATTCCTCTCAAGATTTAGTCACTGCCAGGAAAACTTTGCTGCCCAAAATATCTGATTCTACCATCACTGCCACATCTGTGTTCCTGAAGGAAGACTTTGTAGTAAAATCTCATTTTCTCCTGGAACTACTGCACAGTTGTTGTGAAACCTGGATCTTCCTGAGGAGAGAGGAAGGAGTCACTTCTTCCTAAAGCAAGGACTAGGCAAGCAGGCAGCACATCCTTGCTGAGATTTAAAAAAAAAAACAACAGACATTGTCCTGTAAGCTGAGAGGTTGGAAGTTAATTTTAAAGGAGTTCACAGTGCAGGGTTTGAGACTGTGACAGGAATCCGTGTTTTGGGAAAAAAAGAATTCTTCGGAACGTGCTGTGCAATCTTCATGAAAGATTCATCTGGAGCTCCCCCAGGACAAAATGCTTGCAGGTAAGTGATTTTCTAAAGCAGGTTAGCCATCAGCTCCGTGGCCAGTCACTTGGAAAAGCACCAGCCTGGATTTTGCTTCAGTTGTTTTAGCCTAAAGTATTCCTTGCAGTGCTGATGGTCCCAGAGGCAAGGAGAGAACAAGTGTGGGACTTCAGAAGCAGCAGTGAGAGGCCTCTCTTGTCTGTGGTGCTCAGGATGACCCTTCTCCCCCAGCCTGCAGGAAACAACTCATTACACCCCAGGCCTCCCCTGTGGGCCAGAAGGGAAGGAAGAACCCTTTTTTTCACATTTTACAGAATCCTTTGTGACGTTCCTGGGGCTGGTGTGAAGGGAGCCCAACTGCAGTGATGCTCCTGGAAGCAATGGCTGAAGAAAGTGACACTTTTCAGAGGCTGAGCTGATTTGTGAATTATTTGTGGACTAACCGCTCACAATGCAACAAAACACGCGTTTTTTATGGATGATTTGCTTCAGAGTGAGAGAATCCAACAAAAATCTGTTTTTAATTCTACAAGCCAGGGGAACAGAGCGGAGGGGAGGCAGAACTTCAGGGCCATGACTTTTCCAGGGAGTTCTGTGCTCTGCTGGGAGCCAAAGCCTCTGGGAAGCTCTTCCAGAACAGGGATTCACACAAGATGTTGCCTTCTTACACTTGCACTTCTGCTCTGACATTTCCACTAGGAAAGCTGGGCTGGAAATCACTGAAACACCTTTGGGGAGGCTCAGCAGATGGGCAAGAAATCAGAGGAGAAAGAACTTCTCAGAGCACGAGAGGAAGCAGCTGTGAAGCACACGGGGGGAAAAGCCACCCCAGAAGTGTAACCTGTCTCAAAGTCAGCCACTGATACTCACACTGATGCCTGCAGCAGGGATGAACCCTTATTTCATCTCAAAACTCCACGGGACTTCAAGCACGAGTCACTTTTGTTCTGCTCCAACAGCTGGGCCTAGAGAAGCAGCTGACACTTCTCTGAAAATTCCATTTTTTTTACTCCCATTCAAAAATAAGAGTGCCCTCAAGCAACAGGTAATTCCAAATCACTGCAAAAAGCTTCAGTGTGTAAGAGAGGACAAACTGTTTGTCTGGGCAGCAGGAAAATTCTATTTTTAGACAATATTAACAATTCAACTCTAGGCTGATCAAACTCAGCAACTCATTGATGTCATTTACTCATTTGTAGCTTTGTTGTCGAAGTTTTGAAGACATCTCCAAGCACAAGACAGAGTCAGGCTATCAGATAAAACATTTAAACAGAGGTATTCTTCCACCTACACAAATAACACAGCTTCAGTTCAATTCTACCAGTAGATTATTAAAAAATAAATACAAAATATACCAGTGTTTTTTAACACACTAAAAAAAGGATGTAGATTCTACTTATTCCTGGGGGATTTTGTCTTTGTTATCACAGCAGAGCAAAAGGAGAACAGCTGCAGAATTTCTTTCTCCCTGTCAAACATTTTATCTTGGTACTGCCAAGCAAGACTTCTACATATCAGCATGGGCTAATTAAGAATATATTTTCTTCAATTATACCTTAAATTAATTGCTTTACATATCTTTACCATGCTTCATGTTTAATTGCATCCTAAAACACAAAAATGTAATTGTTTCATCTCCTCTCATTTTTCTCTGCCACGAAAACATCTCCGTGGATTCTTTTTTTTTCCTGTTATCTCTTCATGGGAAGCTAAAAGTGATGACAAATGAACATGCTAATAAAGGGAAAGCAAATTATTTATATATTCAGGTTCTACATTCAATCACAGTTGGATAATCTTGTCCTATTTTTAGCACAATCTGAACTCCCCTGAGTAGAAAAACTGGCATTTAACAAATGTTAGAACTGTAAAAAGGACAAAAAATTGAACATTTGATGTCAGGCTTTTCTTGATAAAATCCTTCAGGAGCAAAAAGGAAGATTAATAGTCTGTGAGTATTGTAATGGACCCAGAATATCTGGTTCAGAATACTGATTTTAATTATCAACACCAACTATGGGTTGAGAGCTATATTTAAAACACACCATAATTTTAATAAAACAGACTCATTTCATTTATTTCAGGACCAGAGTTACAGAGGTGACAGATTTATAGGAATTCTTGAGAAAGTGACCATGGACAGGAGCAAAGTTGAGCCTGTCCTCAAGGGCTTTGTGGCTTCAAAGCTGTAATTCATTATTGGATGAAAAAGTAAGGCTTTTAACCAAGTTATTTATGCACAGGACAACCTGATTTCCAGATTTGAAACTTTCCAGTTTCAGCTCACGAAACAAACCACAACAGGAGTGTTTCATTTCATAGCAGAGCAATGAGTATTTCAAGCTTTTGTTCAGGACCAGCTTTATGTTATATTTACAAAGAATCCTTCAAGTTTGCAAAAAGAGAAAAACCTATTTTTCAGGAATGATTTTTATCAATATTTTTTTTCCTTCTAAAGATTTCTTTTTCACATTATTTCGCTATGACATCTTGCAAAATGTTAACCCAATCCTTCTCACACTGGTTTTTTTTTTTGGGTCAGGCAGAATCATGCTTTCTTCTGCCAAGAGGAAAATGAATGTCACTACTGAAATAAAAAGACACTTGTACTTGTGTAATGTTTATATTTTTCTATGTTTGATAAGCAGACACGCCTTCAACTTCCACCAGTGAAGTGTTTTAACAGCAGCCACCATTCCCTAAAAACACCAGATTTGTGGATTTTTGACAGCACTGGTACTTTCTGGCAGATGGATGTTTTTTTACTCCGTGTCTTCAGTTTATTGCATTAATTTCCCCCAAATCCTCATCTGCTTTTAGAAAAACTTCCTTAAATATTGATCTTTTATTGGAAGACTGAGTGGGATTAGATTTCTTCACCAGACAGATTTCTGGGCTTTGGCACCAGATGAGGTGGCAATCCATCAGAAGATATTATCTTCACTTATAAAACTTTGAACTATCAAATAGAGTTAAATGCTCTTATCCTGAATCTGGGCTTGTTGGCATTCTAACTGCAACAACAAAGCAAGTACCAAAATAAGAAAGATTACTTAAATCTATTTAATTCTGCAGAATGGGTTCCATGAAGCAGAACAAATGAAATGAAACAGTTGGAGTGCCATTACTGCCATTACAGCTCTCATTATTCTTTGTAAGATAAACATCCATATCAGGGATGACTCTTAACACGGGCAGCCAGTCCTGCTGGAATATGAGCTCCATCTGAGGGCTCAAATCCCTGTCTAGATCTGCAATGAAAGCATTCACACCGATTCAATTGTCACAGAACTGCAGCTGGGTTGCTTTTGCTCATTAGCAACATCCTTTATTTCAGCTCTGCGGACTTTTAATGAGCAGAGCAGAACTTGGGCAGCAGGGCAGGTACCCCAGGAATGGCCACTGTTGAGGACTGATGAACAAATCTATTTCATATTGAATATTTGTAATTTATTCTGATGTACCTCACGACTGCCATAGCAATGTTGAGCCAAAATGATGCACGAACCACAACTCTGGAACTTTCAAGCAGCAAATATGGTCACTTAATAGAACCCAATGCACAGTGCCAAGGCTGGAATGGCAGAGGACACTGGCAGGTGAAGCAGCTTGGATTTACTGCCCTTTGTTAATCACAGGATTTCCCAAAAAGTCATAATTACAATCAGTGCATGGAAATTTTGTGTTGCTTCAAGTCCCCTGTCCAAGCTGACCTTGAACATTTCCAACAACGTGGCATTCATCCAGTGTCAAAATTAACTTGCAAGTTGGCAAGGAGAGAAATCTCTTTTCCTTCTTCCTTATAAAATCTATTGTGCCTGAAACTAAAATCTTCATGGACTAAAATCTTTGTGTTCTACCAAGCAGCAGCTCCCCATGGAGAGGCAGTGAAGAACTTGCTCCCAATTGCAGAGGAGCTGTGCTCTGTGCCTTCATCCAACTAAAAACCCATCTCTCTGCTCAAATACTCCTCCATGAGGGAAACATTCCAAGGCAGAATCAGAACCACTGTTTAAATTGCCACTGAAGTAAAGAAAATTATATTTGCTGAGATCTGGCTTTAACAAAAATTGTCAATTACCACTTTGTTGCAAATCACTCTCGCTTTACACCACCACCAATGTGCTTTGCTGGTACTCATTTCACTCTATAGCCCTAAATGCACAAGAGACTGCCTTTTTTCCAGCTATAAAATTTCATATTATTTCATTTCCTATACTGGATTATATCCTCCCATTTATTTACTCATTTTAAAATAAAATTGGCTGTTTTGAAAGCACAGGATTGAGAATATCCATCAGTAATCTCTTCAAAAAGCAGGACAAAATTTGTACTTCCCATAAACAGGAGGCCTAAATGATGCCCCAAATAAATCCAATTGACTTAAAATTGAAGGTTTCACCAATGGACCAAGTAGAAATGTTTTAAAAAAGAAGTCTTTCCATCCCAGAAAAAAAACAAGCACAAGCACACTCTGCTTTAGTCTCAGCAATCCTTGTGAGTTTTTAAGCCATTTCTTAGAGATCTTAGCAAGAAACTGCTGCAGAAGTTCTCATTTTCTGAGAGCACTTAAAATGCCGTGGATTTTTAAGCCCAAATGCCTGATGGAGCTGCAGAAACTGGGAATTTCAGAGAACCCCAGAGCAGTTTGTGTTTCATGAGACAAGAAAGGTGGGAGGGAGGCAGAACAGAGGTTCCCTACCATAGTAAGTGAGACGTCCTCTTGCAATGTTTTTGCCTCTGGAGTTTTCGGTAATGCATTCATAGAGCCCTGCGTCCTCCTGCTGGAAATTAGGGATTTCAATCATGCCATTGGATTTCCTCAGCTTTATTTTACTTGGAAATGGCAGCCCATCAGTTCTTCTCCAGTTAATCTGAGGCACAGGGCTAAAGAGAGAGTAATGAGATTTTAAACAGTTTTGCTTAAAGTCCTTGATTGTCATAATGAGATACTTAAAGCGAACTAAATTCAGCAGTGACTTACAGGCTGTGTTAAAAGCAGTAACCACACTGTACATGACAGATGGTCAGACACTCTGGCACCTGATTTGCATTCACTGCTGATTCCTACGCTGCATTTGTGGCACCAAATTTGTCAGGAGTAACTCTGTGAATGCCCAATAATTGCAAAATTTCCTGTAAATCAGCACTGGCCTCCCCTGGGGACGAGTGAGGTTTACCAGATCCAAGAAGGAAGGATCCAGGCAAATCTTTTGGAATTGCCATCCTCCAGCTGCCTTTCATTCTGCGATTTGCAAACCTCCCCTCACTGGGGAGCCAAGGCAATAGTGTGTGATCAAGTCATCAATCTGATATGGGCACCCAAGAAACTCCTGCAAACAAACCCCACACTGGTAAATAAATACATTTACAGCAACACAAATGCATTCTCAGATCATCTGTGAAAGAGAAAAGGTATCAGCTGTGAGTGAAGCATCATTCAGAGAAGAAATGCATTTCAATCTTTATTTTGGCTGTAAAGAAAGAACAATATTATGAAAGCACCAAGGACATTTAAGAGGAAAATTCAGACAACACTCTCACAGACTTCAGCACCCTTTCCTTGCACAGAGAAAAGAGACTTAGTTCAAAGGTCATATGCAAAACCACACTGAATCTGCTCAGGTTAATTTGAGCTGAAACACAAATTCCCGTGTGGCCAACACACACATCTTAATCCTAAACAAAATCAAAATACAAGATCCAAGAGTCTTTGCCCTCTTATTTCAAGGCAGGAGCTGTGATGACGAAGATCAGGTGCTGGGAAAACACCAGAACAACTGCCAGAACCCCAGAGCTCTTGTGCAGGTGAACCCTGAGGTGCTCCACTTTTCAGTGAAGATGAAAACTTACTTTCCTAGAGCAAAGCACTCCAGCTTCACAGTGGAGCCTTTGGCTGCTGCGAGCGTCTCAGGGAACTGAACTTCTATTTTGGGCTCATATTCTCCCATCACACCTGGGGGAGACAATTGAGAAGGTCAAACTTTGAAGGTAATTTTTGAAGGCAATTCAAAATCAAGCTTATTTCTCTCACACTCCGCTTATAAAGGGACACACAATGAAATCAGGGGCAGAGCGAGGACGCAACAGAGTTAATCTTTGTAGAAAGCAGCCAATGTTTGTGTGGCAGCGGCCTCAGGGATGACAAAGAGTTCCACTGTCCCACCCCAAACCCCTTGTGAAGGGCAGCCCAGCAGTTCTGATTGGGTTTGAGTCCCTGGGGGGGTTCTCCCTTGGTGTGCTTCTACTGGTCCCTGACCCTGAACTCCACCCTCAAAGGTGGAAACCCTTAAGAGTTCTGTCCCTCAAAAACCCCTGCTGTGCCTCTGTTTGGGCTCTCTGTTCTGGACCTGAGTTTGTTCCAATGCTGAATAAATGGTTTCATGAACTGGGAGCCCAGCTCGTTGGTGTTTGATGCTGGTCCCCAGAATCCTGCGGCTTCCCTGGACGAGATCCTGAGGTTGCTGACCGCAACATGTTTGGACATCAGGTGAGGATTTATGGCTGGAGAGGCAGAACCTCTGGGTGATGATCCCTGGTGATTCCATACCGTCTGTGCGCAGCACCAGGGGCGTGGGGGAGCCCAGCACGGGGCTGCTGCTGGCCGTGCTGGTCACCACACAGCTGTAGTTGCCCACGTCTGACGGCTCCACCTTGGCGATGTACAGGTGTCCTGTCTCCTGCGACACGAAGCGCCGGCTGTCCTCCTGCACAAACGAGGGGTACTCGTTGAAGATCCAGGCAAATGACAAGTCTGGGCGAGGAAAAAACAAAAGCAAAGGTGTTTGATAGGGTTTATCCACCTTTTTTCCCCTTCCAAAGATCCATTTATTACTATATTGGACAGCATTGCATCGAGGCCTTAAGTTTTAGCTTTCATATTTTTCCCCAGCTGTGTAGTTTTGAGTTTCATGTTCAGTGTCAGTGAGCTCTCTTCACAGAAACAGGCAGACAAAACAATTCCTTTCTTAGCTTGGTACCCAGGACAAGAACAAAAGCAGAAACAAGGGTGGGCTGAAGAGAGAAAACAAGAAGGATGGCACTTCATAACCTGAACCTGTAATTGGACAATTAACCCTGATACACAGATGGACCAAAGCTGATAAAAATGTGAGACCTCGTGACCAGTCATGCATTTTGTGACCATTTTTGGGTCCATCCTGGGGGCAGCCCTGGCCAGGCTCTTGTGCTACCCAAGGTGTGTCCTTTAATGCCTTTCAGTAAATCCCTGCTTTATCCTGAGCTCTGTCCAGCCTCTGTTCCAGGCCAGCCTTCTCCAGGTTCTGGTGACCATGAAGGGACAGAAGGCATCACGTTATTTAAAATACTTTACTGTGTAACAAACAGAGCCAAAGACTGAGAAAACCAGATTTAAAAAAGTACCAGGAACTAGAAAACCCCCCACTTCTTTCACCAAATCCCCATCTCCTCCAGCAGAAGAAAAAAGGCAAAAGAAATCCAGTGGTTAGGGAGTTTTGTTTAAATTTCCCCCTTTTTTATTTTAATTTAATATGCATGGAAAGAGGAGCAGACAGCAAAAACGAGAGCAAACGTTGCTAAAATGGAAAGATTATTCATTCAGTAGCTACTGAACTCCTCAGCCAGATGCTTAGCCAGTAGAAACAGGACAGGAGCATCCACATGCTAAGAATGTCAGAACAAGCCTGAATTCCCAGTAGGGTTCATCACACAGCAAAACTATTTTTTCATACAAAAAACCATAAAAACTTCATTAAAAACATTTCTGTATGACGTGGCAAAGTAGCCCTCGCTACCATTCATTATGATTATTTGAAAGGAAAAGAAAAAACAAACCCCACACCTCAAAAGATAAACTAAAGAGATCTGGCAAAAAATTTGTTTTGTTTTCTGAGCATCACTCCGAGTCTTCTGTGCCCAATTTTAATTGGCAAAAGCCTCTTCCTGTGTGAGGCCACGTGTCTGTCTCATTCATTTCCTACAGGATCAAAGGAAAATAAATTTTTAATGGTGTTCTAGGCAAGGAATAATTTTTCACCCACGTGCCACTTACACAAAGATTACAGCTTCTGGAAGTGCTAATTAGCAATGATTACAGCTTGATTGGCCTCTCTTTGTGTCTGCAGCATCAGCACTGCCCCCACGAAATGGAGATCAGCCCTCCCTGCACAGGTTTCATTTGAGGGCGCACAAATTTGGGTGCATCATGAAATGCAAAGGTGACACATCCTGAGCCCTCAACACCTCCCCAGGCTGCCAGAGCCAACAGCACAATTTAACACAAGGTAAGACTGTACAGGTGAAAAAAAACCACTCAGTAAATGAAATGAAGATATTTATGGGCTGTCTAACGCCAAAAAGGCATCAAATGAAACGGCTGGTCATTAAACTGCATTTAATTTTGTTCTATCAATATTTAAGCCTCTTCCACTGTGATAATTTTGCAGCAGCAGCAAGTGCCAACCAGTAACATGCCCAGGAGTTAAACTTCTGTCATATTTAGGAATATTTAATGTCAAACACATAACAGTAAGGAGGAAGAGACCTTCAGGATCATCACCCCTGTGGACCTGCAGCATCTCCTCAGGGGCAACAATGGCCTTCAGCACAACTCCTTCCTCCAGAAATCCAGAGGTGCCACTTTTCATGGAAAGGCAGCCAGGATTTGTCAGGAAACGATGGGGGAATTAGGGCAGTGGGAAGCATGGAATTATTTCAAAAAAAGAAAAAAAGAGAGCACACCTGAGGAGTTTGAAGGGGACTAGGTGGTCTTGGGGAGCAAGGAATGGGTGGTCTTCCTAAATGGTGTGAAAAACGAGGTTCACATATTTTTTTATAGAATTTAAAAGTTTAATAAAAAGACAATTAGGAGATAAAAATGAAGTATACAGATACAGCCGGGTGTCTCTGCATTCAGCCAAGAGAGCGCACCTCACTGACAAAGGATTGTCCCTTAAAAACAGAACCCTACCACATATCCATAAATTCTCATACATATTCAGACATTCTTCTGAGGATCTTTGGTGTTCTTCTGTTTAGTTTTCTCTTGCCCCCTTCCCAAGAGATCAATGCTCTTGGTGCCATTGAGATTTACATTCCCTGATACCAGAAATGCAATAAATTCCTCCCCCAGAGCTCTGGTCACTGCTGTCTTCATCTGGATAAGAGAGTTTACAAATGCAGGGGGTCCCTAGTTATCTTTTTAGTCTTTGGGTTATACAAACAAAAGCAGTTTTTATTTTAATACTATGCCATAGCCCAACATATATGTATTATACCACTATTTCTAAGTTTCATCAATAACAGAAATAAAGAAAAATATATTAATACAACAAAATTTTCCAATCTTATACACATAACATTCATTTTAATATTTGCGAAAAGCCAACAATATAAAATGTATCTGTAACAATGGGAAAGGCAAAAAACAGAGAAGAACTTGTTCTACAGAAGAGCTGGGTGGAGACAGTGATCACTGCCCTGAGGGGGGGCTGCACACCAAGTTAGGGACCAAAAAAACCCATTTTCAGCTCTACACCAAGCTCAGCCACCCCCAAGTGGTGACACCAGGCTTTACTGGCTCTGGTATTTATTGAACCACTTGTGTTTCCTTGCTCAAAAATGTTATTTCATGCTTAAAAAAAAAAAAAAAAAAAAGGAGGAAATAAAAAGAAAAAAAAAAGATGTCCAGAGCAGTGTGAGGGGGTGGAGAGATCTGGAGATGCAGCAGGAAGAGGAGCAGCTTCATTTCATTCCTGTGATATTGGGTTAAGGCAAGAGTAAACCCACTGAAATCACTCACTGACTATGGCAGCCATGCAAAGTGGATTCCAGTTTAACTGGATCCCCCAAACTTTGATAAAACACTCCTGGAAACCTAATTCCCCATTCAACACATATTTTAATTGACTCTCTTAAAAAAGTCTGTGGTATTTCCATACCCGTCACCCCCCCCCCCCCCTTTTATATTTATTGCCCTTCACAAAATTGTATTCTTATTTTCAGAAAAAAATAAAAGTAAATAAATAACAAATAAAAAAAAATCATATTAAACAACTTGTGGTGTGATTTATTATGTTTACACCATTTGCCTGTTGCTGATCTTAGGGCACCTCCAGGGACCCGAACTCACTCCCTTTCTGTCAATTACAAGTTTTCAGTTGATTTTCTGTTATAAATGGAAGTAATATGTCTCTCCTGGGCTTCCTCTGAGTTCTAAGCCTTTGCTTTCCAATGCATTTTTTTCCTTATTTGGTGACCATACATGGATAAGGTATTGGAAATTACAGTTATTACTCAATTTTTATTTGTTTACTACATCTTGGTTGGCGGCTTCTCTTTATTTTGCATTATTTGATTATTATTTACTGTGCAGTCTCCAACACACTCAGCATGTTCACACTGTTCCTTTTGTGCACCTAAGTGCTCAATTAAAAAATGCTTATAAAATTACCTGTCATTTTTAAACCTGAATTCTTTATGAAATTCAACAATTAAATCACCATGGCCTTTGAGGTTTACCAGGGTCATTTCCTGCTATTTACGAACCCCAAAAAAATCCCCAAATTACTGTTGCTAAAGGAACATAATGGGGTAAAATCCACACATTTATTGGTTTTTAACTGTGTTCAAGGTCAAGCCTTAAGTTTATGCACATCCTTTTGAAAATATGGCTTTAAATTATGTTTAAAGAATTTTGAAAATATAGAATTTAAAGAAATTACACGTTTCTTCTAAGTGAGACTGAAACATTTCACTGGAAGATCATTTACAGAACCATAGTGATTTTACTTCCTGCAAACAGAATTTAAATGACAACAGCAGTGGTGGAAATCCCAAACCATAATTAAATTCAGGAAGTCGGAAAAGCAGAAGTTTAGGGGGAAAAAAAAAGGCACACAGACCTATGATCAAAAGGAGAAGGACAATTCATAAATTCATTTTATCCACTATTTGCATAAATAATGTCAGCTCTTGCTGATTGGGATACTGGAATGTGAGTGCTCCCAGGGGTATAATCTGTTTTATTTTATGTAAATAACTTCAAACTCCTCCTTAATACTTTTCTTTTCTTACTTGGGCCAATTTTCCTGCACTCAGTTCCTCACCTTGAGCACCCCCATCCTCCCCTGGGCAAGCCCCCACCACCAGCTGCTCCTGGTGATCCCTGTGCCATTAAATCAAGAACATCTCCCTCATTTCTTCTGGCAAACATTAAAGGTTGCCTTCCAAATAAAAATCTTCTGCTCTGGAGGCGTGGGACAAGGTGTTTATGTGCTCCCATAACATATGTGTAAACTGGAGCTTAAAATGTCACGAGGTGCCACTGTCAGAAATGGCAGCATTTTGGCAGTGAAAAACCAGTTTTGAATACTATTAGATATAAACTGTACACAATTTCAAGGGTTTAGGGTTGTATTCTTGCACACATTCAATGCCCAGAAATTTAAAACTATCCTAGGTATGTCCAGCTGGGAAAAACAACCCAAACCAACGCTCAGGCTGCATTTTCAAGGGGGATCCTGGGCTGCTGGCATTCAAGAAGTTCTATCACTGATAATGAAAAAGTCTTTAGCTGCAGTCACACTTCAGAGAATCAACTGGGTTGGCCTTTTTGTTCACATTCTGTATACAAAAATAATGGTAATTACAAAACCTCTCTAGCAGGGCTTGAATTGTGGCCTCCAGGAGTGACGAGAGACAGGGGATCTGCTTAAAATAGGGGCAGTGTTTTCCCAGCCACTGAAATTTCACCTGAACTCTGAAGAACTCCTC